TACCAGTTTGAGGTTTTTGGTAGTTAAAAGATTAGTTTGGGGTAAATTTGTCATTGGTGTACCAGTTTGGGGTTCTTTCGTGGTCAAGAAATTAATTTTCGGGTAAATTTGTTATAAGTGTACTAGTTTGGGATTTTTTGTGGTATTAACCCTAATATTTAAGTGGGAGCATTTGTGACATTTCCAAGTGACACATCATATAAGAGAAACCTTTTTGGTGATTTGTAAATAAGACACACTCAAATAATCACCCCTATGTAGTTCCATATTGATCGAGCCCGCACAGACAGTTCACATTCCTATTTCTTTCATAAACCTAACTCTGTTAATTTAGAGTGTCTTTTCTTCTGATTTTCTAGTTTTTTCCATCTCAAATTTGACCCTTTTTGAGTACGCAAAATTTTTTAAAATGTACAAGTATTGTTATGTATAGCCATTTTATAAATCTCAAGTACAAAGTCTTCGTTTTTAAAATTATTAAAAAAAAAGATTATTGAATTTAGTAGCTATTTGCTGAGGAAATTTGCTCCGAAATTCCTTTGCCTTGTGAAAGAATTATCGTTGCATGAAAGAAACACCGAAAGTGGGATGAAACAGAGAGAGTGTGAGAGGAGGAGCGGGTGTTTTTAATAGATCCAGAATACCATGTGGGCAGGTGAGGAACGTGGAAATTGCTTAAGCTGCGCATGACAACTTGCCAAATAGTGTTTGATTCTGTTCTTTTGTTCCCAGAATCAGTTTGGGAACAGAAATGCGTTTGTTTAATTTTTTGATTATGGGCACAAATTGTTGCAAATTTGTTCCTAGAATCAGTTTTGGAGTAGAATCAAGAATAAAAAAAAAGTAGATTCTTGATTCTAGGAACAATTTTGAGAATCAATTTTTTTTCTTCTTTCTTTTCTTGGTTTTTAATGTAGCTTCTAGGTCGCGCATGATAACGATTCTGCCCTGGAAGCATTCGCTCGTAAATGATTCTTTTTATTCTGTGCCTGAATTGATTCTGGTCATTTTAAGGCGTTTGTTAACGGCCCAAAATTCCATCCCCGGAATAGAAAAAGAACATAAATGCGTTTGGTAACGCCATAAAATTTCTTTTTATTAATAATATTTTTAAATATTTTAATATTTCTTTCTTTTTTTCTTTTCTTTTTTTCTTTTCCTCCTTCTTGGCCATGGCTCGCTTCGCGGCCATGACCGGTAAAATATTTTTTTTATTAATAATATTTTTTATTAAAATATTTTTATTAAAAATATTTTTTTTTTTACCTGGTTGGTTGCCATGGCCGGTAAAATATTATTTTTATTAAAATATTTTTATTAAAAATATACATTTTTTATTAAAATATTTTTACTAAAATTATACATTTTTATTTTTTTGGGCCATGGCCTGGTCGCCGGCCATAGCCGGTAAAATATTTTTTTTATTAATAATTTTTTTATTAAAATATTATTATTAAAAATATATATTTTTATTTTTTTTGCCATGGCACTCGCGGCCATGGTTAGTAAAATATTTTTTATTAAAATATTTTTATTAAAAATATATTTTTTTCTTTTTTTTGCCATGGCACGATCGCGCCATGGCCTGTAAAATATTTTTTTTATTAATAATATTTTTTATTAAAATATACATTTTTTTTTTTTTTTTGCCATGGCCTGGTCGCTGGCCATGGTCGGTAAAATATTTTTTTATTAATAATATTTTTTATTAAAATATTTTTATTAAAAATATATTTTTTTTTTTTTGCCATGGCACGGTCACGCCATGGCAGGTAAAATATTTTTTTATTAATAATATTTTTTATTAAAATATTTTTATTAAAAATATATTTTTTTTTTTTTTTGCCATGGCACTGGTTGCTAGCCATGGCCGATAAAATATTTTTATTAATAATAATTTTTATGAAAATATTTTATTCTCGTCGAATCCGGCGAGCGGTCCTCAAGCGGACATTAGAAGCTACATTAAAAACCAAGAAAAGAAAGAAGAAAAAAATTGATTCTCAAAATTGTTCCGAATCAAGAAGCTACTTTTTTATTCTTGATTCTCTTCAAAATCGATTAGGGCACAAATTTGCAAGAATTTGTGCTCGAATCAAAATATTAAACAAACGCATTTTTCAAACGATTAGGGAACAAAAGCAGAATCAAACACTGTTTGACAAGTTGTCATGCGCACCCTAATGTCCGGCCCGAGGATCGCCCTCGCGGATCGACGAGAATAAAATATTTTAATAAAAATATTTTACCAACCATGGCAAAAAAAGAAAAAAAATATTTTTAATAAAAATATTTTACGGCCATGGCCACACGACTGCCATGGCAAAAAAATAAAAATGTATATTTTTAATAAAAATATTTTAATAAAAAATATTATTAATAAAAAAATATTTTACGTGCCATGGCCGCGATCGAGCCATTGCCAAAAAAAAATAAATAATATATTTTTAATAAAAATATTTTAATAAAAAAAATATTTTACCAACCATGGCGCGACCAAGCCATGGCAAAAAAACAAAAATATATATTTTTAATAAAAATATTTTACCGGCTATGGCGACGACAACCATAGCCCAAAAAATAAAAATGTATATTTTTAGTAAAAATATTTTAATAAAAAAATATTTTACCGGCCATGGCCAAACAGAACTAGGGCCAAAAAAATAAAAATATATTTTTTAATAAAAATATTTTAATAAAAAATATTATTAATAAAAAATATTTTACCGGTCATGGCCGGCGACGTCCATGGCCAAAAAAAGAAAAATACTTTTAATAAAAATATTATTAATAAAAAATATTTTACGGTCATGGCTGGCGGGCCATGGCCAAGAAGGAGGAAAAGAAAAAAAAAAAAAAAAAAGAAAGAAATATTTAAATATTTAAAAATATTATTAATAAAAAGAAATTTTGTGGCGTTACCAAACGCATTTCTGTTCTTTTTCTATTCTAGGGATGGAATTTTGGGCCGTTAACAAACGCCTTAAATGCTCAATCAATTCCGGCATAGAATCAAAAGAATCATTTCGAATTAAGGACTCAAGCTCCCAAGTGCCAGAATTCCCCAAATGAGTGAATTAATGAGGCATATATAATAAGAGGGCTAGGATAGTTAATGGACATTGATCTTACCATATGGCAATCTAGGTGTAGGGAAATCGATAGTGGATAGGTTGCCGCGTGTCCCGAGGACACGCGCCAAAAAGGATTTGCCTTGTGTCAGGAGAATACAAACCAACAGCAAACCCACTAGACAAGGTTAGCAAGGTCGGTCAGGCCATTCGTAACGAAATCTGCCCTAAGCCCAATATGCCAAAACTCTCTAAGACATCTTAGTTGTATAGGAATAATCTAGGATCCTACAACCCATCCTAAGTTATTTCTACATAAAGCAATGCTCAGCGACACAAACTCGCAACATTTTCTAAGAAATAACACTTGTCGGTAACTGAGAAAATTATAATAAGAAATACTATATTTTATGTCATAAATGTAAAAAGGCTAAATTACGCAAAAATTAGGTGAAATTGCGAAATCATGGACCCAATATTTTCAATCATATCTGGGCTAGAGGCTTGGGTCTATGAATCGAGCATCATTTTGGTGACTTATCATATTTAAAAATCATTAATGTGCATTATCCGGAAATTCGGGCATTGTTTCAAGAGTGATGCCGAGTAGTCTGTGCTAGAAATTAAGGGAAGAAAAAAATATCATGTGGAAGATGTCCTAATACAAGGTTGGCCATCAATATACAAACTGGTTTTTTGGTGAAGCGCACAGCCAGCCAAAACAAGTTATTATGTTGAGTCAAGATGCGTACCCCATTCAGGATAGTGAGATACCCAAGTTGATGGGAGACATGGAACGGTTAATCACAATAAGACATATCACAATACTAGTCATAAGAACATTCCTTAAAAAGGAAGGCTAATATAGCGAATAGGCACGCTGAATGTTGCACGGTCCCTTGAGTAAGGCCAATCGGTTCGAACTGCCATGACTGGTCACTCCTCCCTACCCTTTTGATTTTCGAGTGTGTTGTCGTTTGCATCATCTCTCCATGTCTCTCTCATGCACTAAAATTTTTGAAGCTTAAGGAGAGAGAGAGAGAGAGATGGAGTGTTTAAGATGAGATTGAAAAATTATTCGTCCACATTGTCTGAATTAACATTAACTTTTCATTCTTTACTTGACGTAAATCTTTTGGTGCACGTATTAAAACTTTTTCACTCAAAATAACACGAAAATTTCACTGCCTTTAAAAGATGAAATGCGTGTTGATACGTAAATTTTAATAATTTTGTCAATCGATAATATTTTTAAATCTTGATGAGAAAGAAAAATATTATGCTTTCTTATATACTTAATCTCACAATAAATATTTGACCCAAAAAAATTGCACAATAAACAACCCTAAGTTTGTTATTGTACAAAACAAAGTAACATATAGATTGTCAGATTATATGCATCACACTCGCCGGTAATTATTAGGAAAAATAATACAAACAGTCCCTAAATTTTGGCTAAATGTGCAATTTGGTCCCTGAACTTTTAATTTGTTCAATGTAGTCCCTGAACTTTAACCTAATATACAATGTAGTCCATAAGCTTATAATTTGTTTAATGTCATCTCTGAACTTTTTATACATGTTCGATTTAGTCCCTAAACTATATAAAAATATTTAATGTAGTTCTTGAACTACATAAAAATATTTAATGTAGCATTTCCATTAATTTAAGTTCAAGGACTATTTTGAACATTTTTGTATAGTTCAGGGATTACATTGAACATGTACCCAAAGTTCAGGGATCACATTGAACAAATTAAAAGATCAAGGATCAAATTGAATATTAAGCTAAAGCTCATGGACTATATTGAATAAATTAAAAGGTTAGAGATCAAATTGCACTTTAAACTAAAGTTCAGGAATTATTTGTGTCATTATCTCTAATCAGTAATTCTCCCCGTTCAAGACCGAGAGGCCCATCCATGGATGGAGGCGCTGCGACTTGGACCGGGTCGGAGGAAGTGTCCGGCCGAATCCGGAAGCAAAGCGGGGTCGTCTCAGGTAGCATCTCTCTCTCTCTCGCTTCCTGGAGGCTGGAGCTGAACAGACGAAGGAGGAAGAAGAAGAAGAAGAAGAAGAAGACGACGAAGAAGAGAGGGAATGAGCGTGTACGGAGGAGATAGCTGGGCGAGGGAAGCCCAGCACCGGAAGAGACGGGCCGACGGTCTGGCGGTGGAAGGTCTCGACGCCACCTCCTACAAGAGGCTCTCCTCCGGCAAGTTCGCTTGCCTCGTCTGCCCTCGCGCCCCCGTCCTCGATTCCGCTCTCATGCTCTCCGTACGTCTCGTATCTCTTCGCACGCCAAACTTTTGCTATCCGTCGATGTGTTTTCTTTTGTGGGTCTGTGTTTTCTTGATTGGTTGTCAGCTTGATGAGTAGCTGGAGGATTGTAGCGATATTCGCTAGATGTTAGAGAGGGAGACGAGTCGTGGGTCCGACAGAACATCTGGGTCCTCCGGCATTGGCGTTTCTGTGAGAAGCCTAACTAATTTTCGGGGCAATTTCCCCATAAACCCAATTGTTCTGATGTAGAATGTATTATTAATGTGCTTTTTGGTTTCGGTCCGGTCGGCAGAATTTCGGTTGGTGTCGGCTGGCAAACGACCATCAAGTTGCCATTTTGAATTTGATCAAATGTGTTGTATGGCTTCCTCTCGGGCAAACTGTCTTGCTGGTCTACTTTATTGTGTTTTGGTTCGATTTGTTTGGAGAACCGTGTAATGCCTATGGCGGGTACTGACCAAAATGCTTGTTCTGCCTGTGATGTTGATGCAAGGTTTTGCATTGTCGACCGGGTCATGCTAGTTGCACATTAGATGTTATGAATTTTCTGTGCCTCACCTGCGAATGTTCAGTTACTTCCTTTCGCGGTGAATTAATTCGCATTATGCTTCCGTTTAAGAAAAGACACCAGAACAAGAAAGTTGGGTTTTTATTGGATTGAAATGCATGTGAGTGGACATTGCTAGACGTTTGAAAGAAGCAGATGTTATTTGGGACACAGGTGATCATTCATATGGTCACTACATGTATAGATCGATATAGTTTTCTGCTGCACAGATTGTCTTGTGGTTGTAGATCACTTCACTAGTTTTGCTTGTTGATATTCTTTTATTATGCAGATGCATTGCAAGGGGTCACGCCACCGTGTTGCATTGTCAAGATTGAAGGAGAGAGAATTGGAAAAGAAGGATGAGATCAACAAGAGAATAGCCTTGTCTGATTGTGCTGTAAACGCAGGCACTAGTACTTCTACTTCAAACAGAATAAAAAGTAAGCCCTTGATTGAGCAAACAAGGAAGACCGCTTTGGAAGTAATTGACAAGGCAAACACTAGACAAGACGTCCATAACGAAGGCCATAATGCAAAAATATGTGGGATTCTCCATGGTAATGAAACTTCACATGTAAGTGAAAGCTTCTCTTTCGCTGCAAAAGAAGCAGCTGAAGAGGTGATTGTACAGCCACAAGTTAGTATCAGAGAGCGTCGTGAAAGAGAGCTCAAGTTTACTTCTGCTGGTTGGAAGCGTGATGGCAATGGCAGATGGTTCAAGGATGAAAATGTGAGTTCTTTCAACAATTTGATAAACATTTTATTGTTCTGCAAGGCATCATGCGGTTTTAATTTGGAATATTTACAATAAGGATGACTGAAATCTTGGCTCTGTACAATTTACTAAATGCTGTATGTACAGATGTGATGTCTGTATTTTATCTTAGGCATTGATTGTGGCAATTTTATGGCATTTGCAGGTTGAATTTGACTCGGATGAAGAAGATCCAAATATATGTCTTGCATAACACATAAGATCACAACGATATTTTTGAGCAATTGATGCCAGAGAACAATAAAGACTAATGAGAGGAATTCATGTAAAAGTTTGATGACTTGACTTGCCAAGCTGATGTCCCATAATACCAATCAGATGTTACTACAAATTTCCATCCAAAGGTCTGAAATACTTCAAGAAATGTATATATTTGTTGAGGATGAGTGCCTGCAATCGACTTCCTAGGGATTTGATTCATCTGTCAAGTTAGGGATTTAATTGATCTTCTTTGACTGCTAACCTGTGAGTATTGAACATACTTGATGGAGCACGAGATGAATGATTAGGTTGTTTGTGAGAAAGTTTCAGAGTTTTATCTGCATGCTTAAGTGGTGTAAAAGTTATTAGCACGCCATTCCTGTCTGACTTGAAGCTTTTCCTAAGTAGATAGAACTCAGAAACAGGTATTGAATTGGGAGAAGTTTTTGATATAGAGAATCACAATCTCTCTACTTATTCTGTTCTTGGTGCAACTCATGTAAGACTTAGTGGGTCATATGTCATTACTGTACGGTGCACAAGGAAGTAAATTATGCCAAATGCGTTCCTCAGTGTGTGTCGACCTAACTTAGTCTATCCATCAATAGTTCTTTGTTCATGGTGCACGTCTCAGAAAGAGAATCTATGATCCATTTCGTGATATCTCCGATCTCGGGCCAGGCCATGATGAAAGGTGTGTCACACTGGCCGGCCAATTTGGTGCCACTTCAACCCATTGGGCTAGTTAGCAGGCTTAAAGAGATTAAAAAAATTGGTCTGATGGGCTTCTGCTGCAGAAATTGGGCAGTGTTGCTCGTAGTCCTTTTCTTGTTCTGTCCTTTGCAAGTGAATTTGTCCATGCCGATCTTTCCTTCGACATGATCCTCATGGTGGTCCAACAATGAAGAGCTCGTCCCTTAGCAAGTGAAATGTCTTTTATTTCATGGAGGCTACATTTCTTTACATGCTGTATAAAGTATTTTATCTCATGGATTCCCAAAAATGTTCAAAGGTCAAGGCATAAACATAAGGTTTGCAATATTTTACCCGGGAAAATTATCTAATACGTTCCCATAGATCTTTATGTTGCATTTCCATGCTGAAGAGATCTAAAAGGAGGCCAAATCAAAATCCCCAAACCCTAAGCTCTCATTCATGTACTTGGATATATTGAGTCCTTATGATCACATCACTAATTGAATTCAAGGCATCTAGTTTCATAATGCCTTCGCACGCGCGCCTTCACAAATCTTGTCTTCACGTGGTCATCTTCCCTTAGTTGAAAGGTGGGAATCCAAAATAACGAGTCTATTAACATAATGTGGTTGAATCTAATTTCACTTGAAGCCTAAAAACATGAGCCAGCTATGTGCATTAATCGATCGTCATCATATCAATAGTTCGATGTCAGAACTGTTTCACTAAAATCCCTCATACGTACACGTTTGACATATTTTATATTTCATTTTTCCCCCTTCATTAGGAAAGGGGACTTAGAAGCTTTTTGGTTTGGTAGATTGGTTGTTGGAAGAAGTGACGGAAGAGGGACCCAAGCTGTGACAGCTCAAGTCATGTGAAGTGCATGAACTTTGTGGTTGGCTTTCACCCTCCCCTCCGAACCCCGGAATATGGGATCTGATGCAAAAATCATGCAATACGAGCATCACCGGATACGTCCCCACATCCCAAAACATGTTACCTGAATTATTTATTGTACTTTGACTTAAGTTTTCTTCATTGAGACAGGGAGTACATTCTCCTCATCACCGCGAAGTTTCGCCTGTTTTTGGCTCAACTCAATGGACACATACAAGTACCAGAACGCAGGTTCGTGAAAACAAGTTCATATGATGTTGTCTGCTCTCTTCGTAGCCAAAACGTTTCACTAAACCCACTTTGATGAGTCTTGGGGTCGATTATGAGCAGCTAACACTGACAGATAAAGATATTGATTCAGAAGTTCACCAGAAGAGGCTGCAATAAATGGTGGGTTGCAGCGTGGTTTCTATCAAAGGAAGATGATAGGGAAAGTGGGATCAAGGACCAGCAATTACCACAAGGGGGACCAGAAGTTTTTGAGAAAAAATGGGTGGTCTGTGTGTTACCCTATCTTGGACAATTTGCATATAAGGATCCAAGCTACATGCAATGTGTATTGGAGAATGAGTAGACAAGTTGACTACCTAACCTACTAGAACAGGTTAGACATGTAGTAGGCAATTTTGGTGGACGTGTGTAAGACATCATTTCCTGTGTAAGACATCATTTCCTATGAAAATCTTGCCTTGCAAATGGAATTAAAAATCTAAAACAGAACCTCAAAACTTTCTATTAGAGTAGACAAAAATTGACGAGAATTAAATATCACATCGTTATCTTGATTAGAGTAAACCTAGGGGCAACATCGGTCACATCTTTGTGAGTGAAGTCTTTCCAAAGGTACGTGGAGACGACCGGTTACGTGCATTTGCGGGCTGGAGTGGACCCGGAGGTAGCTGGTGTTTAACCGTTTGGTCATAACTTTTATTGGTATTTTGCAAAATTCCTTTTTAATTTTCGAGTGTAATTTATATATCTGCCCTCCCCCAATTTAGATTTGCTAACTTCGCTGACTCGCGCCCTCAAGTTAAAATCTTGTGTTTGCTACTTTTTGTGAGGATCAATCGATTGAAAGATTCTTTTATCCCGTATTATAAAAAAACGAAAGCTAAAGAGTCAACTCGATTATTTTGGCCTCTCCATAGTTCGTTGTTGTCGTTACATTTCCTTAATAATTTTATCGGTATTTTCATTTCGAAAAAAGGAAAAAAGTCAAAAATGTGCAATAGCTGGTCGTGTCTGTTTTTATGGAACTCAAAATCCCCATAACGTTTTTTTTTTTTTTTGTTTACAACCAAAATGTCGGATGGGAAACCTCGAATTCATGGAGAATTTCGATTTATCTCATGGACCAGAAAAGACGCGACATAATATTCAGGTGGATGGGCTAAAATGCGGTTGTTTCCATCTGGAGACATATACTAAACTAAATCCTAGGGGATCCGCGTGTGCCAAATTCCAAAATGAGCACTCTGCATACTATCAAAAAGAACGTGTGTTACACGAGAAGGAAGATAATAAAACAAATTTTAAAGATGTGAAATATAATTTAAGTTCAAACATTTGACCTATTAGGTTTTAAAAGATTCAATTTTAGAAAGTGCGAGAAATTTCGGGAATCATATTTTAATATTTGGTCAACTTCTAAATTATGATTTTATCCATTATTCATGAATAATAATGAGTCCGGTTAACATATCAATCCTTAGTCCACCGTGAGAGAAACGGCTTGTTATAGGCTACAAATTCTTAAAGCAGTGAACTCCACAATAATTTTTAATTATTTGTTATTTGTTATTGGGAAAATTTCAAATCCGATCCGAAAGTGCCTTCATTTTCCCAAAAGATGGTCCACAGTGAGCCTTGTTTCACCGACCGGCCAAATCTTCGCCAGCCGGCGAGCACATACATCTCACATGCTAATTTGGGCGACACAGCGAAGTGCATTTTCGTACAAAAGCATTTCTTTCCTTTTCTTTTCATTTTACTGTTCATCGTCGTGCCTTCCTTGACTGGGTTCTTCTTGTTTTTACCTTCCTTCCGCAACTTTGCTCTTTTTGCTGGGCAATTCCCACCACCATTTAATTAGGGCGACCAAGAAAACATTAAGGCGACTAAGTAGCGAGATTCATCATTCTCAAACCAAACGGGAAAAAAGAAAAAGACAAAAGTAGAAAGCAATGCTTTGCTTGGACTCATGCGAGTCTCCAAAGTCCAAACCTTTTCGGTGAAAGAAAATACATAAAGTATAAGGGGAACTTCAAGTCATAACCATCAGCTCCTAAGATGAATCGGAAAGATTCATAGAACCACCCAAAGTGCAATGGCGATTGAGGAAAATGATTGCAAAAAAGAAAGTTCCCAGTCTAATATAGTATTTGAAAAAAAACAAGCACCCAGTCAAGGAAGGACGACGAAGAGATGAACAGTCGAATGAAAAGGAAAGGCAAGAAATGATTTTGGACGAAAATGCCCCTCACTGTCTCACCGGGCTGGTGAAGATTTGGCTGGTCAATGGGGTAAGCCCTTATTTGAGACTAAGTAAGTCACTTTAGGTCCTTACTTGAAATAAGGCCTACTTTGCATTTCTCTTTTGGAAAAATGAGAGCACTTCGAATCTCTATTTGAAATTTTTCCTTTGTTATTTTGTGGCTCAAAACTGACTATTAGTCTCATGGAGGATTAAGAATAGTTACTTAATCATTTCTCATTGTAAAATTCATCTCAACACCTATATGGGTATCCTTTGATTTTTAGGAAAGTTTTGAAGCTGAAATATTCCTTCTTGTTTGCTTTATATATTGCAGAGACCATTAGAATATCACTCTTTCGTTACCCCACTTAAAGCAATAAAATCTTCGGGGTATCAGCCCATATATCACTCGGCAATACATTCTCTATTTTTCCTTTGAGCAACTCAGCTACTTTTTAGGCTTGGAGAGTTTTCAAATTCCTTTGTTTATTATCTTTCTCAAGCTAAATATGCCACTGATCTTCAATCTCGAGCAGAATTCATTGACAAGCAAGGTTGCTACAACTCATAACGAGACCCGTGTCAAATTTAATGCAAAAAATGTGACTCCTCTTTCAAATCCTACACTTTATCGACATTTGGTTTGCATTCTTTATATATCTCACTGTTACTCGACCTGACATTACATTTGTTGTTCATATTGTCAATCAATACATAACCACATCCCATTTGACTCATTTTGCTGCAGTTCTTCAATTTCTTCGCTACTTCAAGGGTACATTATATCACCGCCTTCATTTTTCTGCTCATTCTACATCTAAGTTGATAGCTGATGCTAACTAGGTTAGTGACCCTCAAGATCGTCGCTCAACTAAGGGCTACTGTTTCGTTTTAGGCAACTCACTTATCTTATGGCGTAGCAAGAATGAGACTGTTATTGCTCACTCTAGTACCAAAACATAATATCGAGCTCGTGCTTATACAACACCAGAGTTATTATGGTTTGTGACGTTTACTAGAAGACATAGGAGTGCATCATAATAGTGGTGCAACCATTC